CTGTGGTTTGTATTGTGAGACAACAGTCTTATAAAGCTCAGAATGGCCTAGAGCCTGCTAGTAGCCTAGGCTGGTGTTGTGTGACACTTTTCATGAGAAAATGTTAACAAATGTCTACTCACTCCAGGTAGGAAACCACCAAAGTCCAACTGGATGAAGCAGAACCGCTGAGTGACAGCTCAGAAAGCTGGAGCACACAGCACAGAGTGGAGGCAGCTCAGCAGGTTGGAAAGTATCTCAGGAGCCCATGTGCTCTGAGCCTCCTCCAGGCAGCTTAGCTTGTCTGAGAGGATCTCTCTGCAGTCCGTATAGTTTATATATGCTTGAGAAGGGAGAGGCCTAGTGAACCTAGTCAGTTTCAGGGACTTCCTGGAACTCTTGAATTATTTACGTTTGGCGCTTAAGAAGCTTCCCTGTATGAGTTTGAGGTCTGCCTGGTCTTCAGGGCAAGTTCCAGGACAGCCAGGGCTACACAGAGAAAGCCTGTCTTAAAAAAAGGAAAAAAAAAAGTAAAAGCTTCCCTACTGGATAGAATGCTTCACCTCCCTTAAGAACAGCATTTCTCAACCTGTGGGTGTTGGCCCTTTCACAGAGGTTGCCTAAGACCATCAGAAAACACAGATATTTACATTATAATCTGTAACAGTAGCAAAATTACACCTATAAAGTAGCAATGAAAATAATTTTATGGTTGTAGGCACCACAACATGAATAACTGTATTAAAGTGTCGCAGCGCTAGGGGCTTGAGAACCACCGCCCTAGAATATCCTTTTGTTTTGCCTCAATTTTCATGTCCTGTCTCTTAGGGAACTGCCCTCCCATCTGGACCTTCCTTCCAAGATGAACTGTTTTATCTCAGAGGAAACTGCCATAGAGCAGCTGGTGCCGACCAGTCAGTCCACCACTTTCCCAGCTGCTGGAATTACAGGCATACCCCACCATGTCTGGGGCTTGCCATGTTGTCCCTATTCCAAGACTGAGCATGCTCACCTCTCAAAAGCCAGTGCTTATGAGACGAGGACTTGGTGAGAAGGAAATCAGGTTTCTTCAAGGGCTGGAACTCTGAGATGATGATGATAGACCATCCTGGGGAGCTCCGGCAGATGAGTGGCACAGGGAAAGGTGGTGTGAATGAACCCGAGCAGGGAGGCCCCGCCTAAGATGTGTGCCTTTTCTTCTGTGACCTGGACATCATCGTAATCCACTTCAACCTCCTGGGAAAATGCCTGTAATTCCCTAGACAAACACTTTGCTTTTTCAGAAACTAAGCATCATTTACACATTCTAATAAAATCTGTAGCTCATCAGATGTTCTGTGAAGTTAGAGAAAGGGTTAGACATAGTGGGGGCAAGAGGACTTCATTTCTTCCAGCACTAGGAATTGAACTAGGGTTTTCTGCATGCTAAGTAAGCATTCTTCTAATGAGTTATAGCCTGGCCCTTTTTAAATTTTGAGACAGGAACTTACTAATTAACCATGCTAGACTTGAACTTACAATTCTTTTGGCATCAACCTCTCAAGTGGCAAAGATACAGGCTTGAAACACCAATCTGAGCAGGATTGAAGCCCTCAGAAGAGATTTGCTTGTTTGTTTGTTTGTTTGTTTAGACAGAAACTCCCTATGTAATGCTGTATAGTCTGAACCTTGCTATATAGAGCAGGCTGGCCTGGAACTCATAGAGATCCTCCTGTCTCTGCCTTCCTGAGTGCTCGAATTAAAAGTGTGAACCACTATGCCCAGTGAGAAGAGAGCTCTTAACATTGGAAATTTGGGGGAAGCCTTACAGATGCACTGACTCCTCGTTTAGGCCTTATTAGCTACAGTAGAAAAGATGGAGGGTTTCAAAGAAAAGATGATGGTTTCAAAGAAAATGACCCCTAAAGGGAATAGCACTATAAGGAGGTATAGCCTTGTTAAAGGAAGTGTGTCACTGTAGGAGAGGGCTTTGAGGTCTCTTTTGCTCAAGCTTCCCTCAGTGTGACTATCAGTTTGATTTCCTGTTGCCTACAAGATGTAGGACACTTGGCTATTTCTCCAGCACCATGCCTGCCTGCATGCCACCATGCTCCCCATCATGATGATAATGGACTGAACCTCTGAAACTGCAAATGAGCCCCCTCAATTAGATGTTTTCCTTATAAGAGTTGCTGTGGTCATGGTATCTCTTCACTAAGACAGAAATGGATACCAGGAATCAGGTACCCTGTGATAGGCCTGACCATGAATTTGGGCTGTGTTACTTTGGGTTAGGAAAGCAGTGGAATGCTTTAAGGACTGCTTAAAAGCCATACTAGTAGGTACACGGAAGACAGGTGCTAAGAGTTATTTGAACTGTTGGGGGTTCATTCAAGAGATTTCAGAGGAGATTTTTTTTTTTTTGGTTTTACGAGACAGGGTTTCTCTGTATTGTTTTGGAGGCTGTCGGTCCAGCCCGGCCTCGAACTCACAGAGATCCGCCTGCCTCTGCCTCCCGAGTGCTGGGATTAAAGGCGTGCGCCACCACCGCCCGGCTTGAATTTTTAGTATGTTATCTAGAGATCATTCTTGTGATATTTTGGTGGAGAAGGTGGCTGTCTTTTGCCCTTCTCTGAAGAGTCTGCCTGAGGATAAAGTGAAGAAAATTGGATTAATTCCATTGGCAGAAGAAATCTCAAAAGAGCCTAGTATAAACTCTGTTGTGTAGTTTTTAGTGGTAACTTTAATGAAAATTCATAATGAAAAGGAGGAAGCTGATCAGGGTAAATTACAAAATGAAAATTTTGAGGAGAAAAAGAGCACCAGGAATAGGAATAGAGCTAAATTATGTGTTCAAGGAGATAAACAGATTAAGATGTGGGATAAGCTAAGTTTCTAACTTGTGGAAAGAAACTAAAGAAAAGCTTAGAGCTGGATATGGTGGGGCACACCTTTAATCCCAGCACTGGGAAGGTAGAGTTTGAGGCCAGCCTGGTATAAGAGAAGTTCAAAGGACAGCCAAGTTTAGGCAGTGAAAGACAGAAAGCTGATGAAGATGTAATTGACCCGGCGTGTGCTGTCCTAGCAAGCAGAAGAACTTGGCAGCTTCAGCCATGTGGTTCTGGCTTTAGAATTAAGGATAGAATAAAGAATCATGGAATAAAGCCGATGAGGCCAGGCACGTGTAAGGGGCGTCCCTGAATGGAGGCCTAGAGAGGCCATTCTGTGAAGCCGTAAAGGCAAATCCTGGATTGCCTCAGAGAACCCAAGATGTTAGAGATGCCAGAGTCCTGAGATGCCTGCCAAAGAGAGCTATAACAGGGAATGGAATCAGCCCAAGAGGAAAAAGTGTGTTGCAGTCAACAGAGCTGAATGGAGTTGAAAATGGAGAGAGCGTTTTGACATCAGACATGGAGATGCAGAGCTTGGAGTTTGCTCAGCTGGTTTTTGTCTTGCTTTGCTACAGTGTTTCCTTGCTGTGCTCCCTTCCCTGCATTTTGGAATGGATATGTGATCTGCCTTTTGATTTTGATTTTTGTAGGTGATTATAGTTGATTGTCACAAGTCTCAGAAGAGACTTTGGACTTTGAAGTGAGTTTGAGACTGTTACAGCTATGGAGACTTTTGAAGTTGGACTGAATGCAGTTTTGCATTATGATATTGCCCCCTTTGGGGGTCATGGATTGGAATGTGGTAGCTTGAAAGAAAAGGGAGTGGCACTATTAGGAGGTGGTCTTGTTGGAGGAAGTGGGCCACTGTAGGGGTGGGCTTTGAGGTCTTTGCTCAAGCTTCCTTCAATGTGACTGTCAGTTTGATTTCCTGTTGCCTACAAGATGTAGGACACTTGGCTTTTTCTCCAGCACCATGCCTGCCTGCATGCCACCATGCTCCCCATCATGATGATAATGGACTGAACCCCTGAAACTGCAAATGAGCCCCCTCAATTAGATGTTTTCCTTATAAGAGTTGCTGTGGTCATGGTGTCTCTTCACAGCAATAGACACCCTAAGAGGGAGAACCATGTATGAATATCGAACAAAGCAGCCCGGAATGTATAGCTAGGTGGGGCTTGGGATAAGAGTGAAGGGCAAAGTGGTTTAGATGAGGAATAGTGCTTCAGGAGAATCTGGTCTGAGACCAGAATAGAGAATAGACAGAAGACAAAGCCAAGGGGTGATATATAGACTAGGATGCAGGGGTGAGGCCTAAGCTCCTGTAGTACTTGTTGAAATGGGCTCAAGACATACCGTAGTGCTGAAGAACCTAGGCTGCCTCCCAGGCCTTGCTTTCAGCAGCTGGTGGGTCAGGTGCAGAGGGATCCTGCTGAGCTCTGATGCCTGGTGAACATCTGGTAGAGATCGCCAACAGGCAGCTGGGTACAGGTGAGGCTGCAGCTCAGTGGTATTAGTTCATCACTACCACAACTACCTCACGTGGGAAACTCTTTGGCCCTCTAGAGCTGCCATTTCCTGCCCCTGTGTCATGTCAGTGTACATTTTGCACCAGAGTCTGTGAGCTTGTTACAGTAGACACTGTGACACAGTGACTCTGGGGCCTTAGAAGACTGCTGCGTGACTCAGTGGTCTGCAGCAGACCCCACAGAGGCCTCCCAAACTAGGGCAAGAGGCCTGCCTTCTTAGCCTACATCTGCTCCTACTACCTGAAACTGCTGCCTTCCTCAGACAAAGGCCCGAGAGCCAGGGAATCCCTCTGCTACTCTGCAAGCAGAGAAATGGTGTTCAGGCACCACCCATAGATCTCCAGGAATGCTTTGTGCTCCGCCCCGCCAACCCCACTTCTGCACTAACACCTGAAGGAGACAGAGTCTTTGGGCCACAGAACTGTCTGGAAATACAGTTCAGCCCCTCTGATCCCTGAGACTGTGGAGATCAACTACCTCACAAAGCCTAGGCTTGAAGTTTGGTTTTTTAGAAAGGCGGAGGTGGGGATGACATTTCTCAAGGATAGAAAAACTAAAATATGCAGGTTGTTGTCTAAAAGAAAAAAAGAGGAGACCAGAGTCCAGGAATGGGAAAAGAGAAGATTGTGGATTAGTTTATCTAATCCAGGTAAGGGTGACCCACTCCTGGATCCTGCTGTGCCCGACTCAGCTGTTAGCCCTAAGCACCCTTCCCAGCTGCTGTTTCCAAGTGCTGGCTCCACCCCTTCCACAGCTGCTTGCCCACCCAGTTCTGTTGGCCCTCCCCAATGTCTGTCTCACAGCCCATCTGCTCCATGTTTCTGCCAAGAGTTTTGTAACTTCAACGTGGGCTGTTCCTCTTCAGACACTCCAGATGGTTAATGCTTTTCTGCAGCAATATCAAAAAGCCCCGTTAGACCTTCAGGTGCTTCCAGCCAGATGAACAAAGCAGCTGGGATCTTTGTCCATCCTGGTCCCATCGCTGGAGAGAAAGGGGTCTCGATGTAGACGCACTCTTCACATGGCAGGCACACAGAGAAGCGTTTGCTGCCTCTCTCGCCCCACCCCCATGGACCTGTGTGTTGAGCAGGGTGTTTCGTCTCCCCAGCCCTCCATGCGTCTGTCTGGTCAGCACACCTGCACTGGCTGTTGTCTGCCCCCCCCCCACATCCCCCAGCATACTCTTCTGTAGGGCAGTCCTGAGGTTTATTTCTCTTGGTCTACCCACCTCCATGTCAGTGTAACACTACTGAATCCATTCTACATGCTCCTGTAGAAGCCGAGAGGGTATAGCTCATGCTATCAAGAACCTTAAAAAGACCCAGGGCTTACAGTTTAAGGAGGTAAATGCCCTAGATGCTGAAGGCTTAGAGGCAGTGAGGGGTGTTTTCATTGTCTTTCAAAAATATTTTACTTATTTTTATTTGCTAAGTATGAATATTCTGCCTGCATGTATGTCTGTGCACCACAGGCATGCAGTGCCCTCAGAGGCCAGAGGAGAGCATTAGATTCTCTGGAACTGGAGTTGCAGGCACTTAGTTGTTAGCCACCATGTGAGTGCTGAGAATTGAACCCGGTCCTCTGCAAGAGCAATGAATGTTCCACCAACCGGGCCGTCACTAGCCAAGGGTGTTTTGAAAGAGTGGGTAAAGCGCCTTCAGGAGGAACACTGCTCTGCAGTCAGCTTCAGATGTGAGGATGAGACTCTTCACGACAGAGTGGGTAGGGATGGGGGAGATGGGGGGTCCAAAAAGGATTGTCATTTGGAGGCCAGAAACTAAGTGATCCATGGTAGTTCTGGAAGATAGATAAAAATGGCACTAGTTAGTTATTTGTAAACTGAAAGAGAAAAATAATTCATTTCAGATGAGCACTGAGCCCAATCAAAACGTTTGTTAATTACATCAAAGAATAACATTCTCTAGCTAGTAATCATTTACACATTTTTCTCTCACAAAAAGGAACTTGAGTTTGAATCCTGCCAAAGCACTCACTTCTCTAAGCCAGGAATAATAAGTCCTGGCCCAGCTGTCCTTGTCTGCAACAGGGATGAATGAAGACACTATGTCAAAAGATGAAATACTCTTATCTATGCAAATTAGTATTATAAAAGAATTCAGGGAGCTTTTAGCCCAGGCTTGTTTTCCTTTCTTCCTCAGCCCAGTGGCTCTCTAGCCTCTCAACATTTGAAATCACTAAGGATTTTCAAAACTTCCTGAGTACCAGGACACAGTTTTGTGTGTGTGTGTGGTTCTTCCCCTGTGAGTCTAATGTGCAGCAGTTATCAGCCATTCATCAGGCATTAATACATTTCATCCTCAATGTAGGCTTGACCTATAATTAGGAATTAAGGACTGTGACTACACAGATATGGTTGGATAATAATCCTTTCTCATTTTACCCATCTAGAACTATTTCCAGGCACCCAGCCTCCTACCATGTCTGACCCCATTACACTGAATGTTGGGGGGAAACTCTATACAACCTCACTGGCAACTTTGACCAGCTTCCCTGACTCTATGCTGGGTGCCATGTTCAGTGGGAAGATGCCCACCAAGAGGGACAGCCAGGGTAACTGCTTCATCGACCGTGATGGCAAAGTGTTCCGCTATATCCTCAACTTCCTTCGGACCTCTCACCTGGACCTGCCAGAGGACTTCCAGGAGATGGGCCTGCTCCGCAGGGAAGCTGACTTCTACCAGGTACAGCCCCTGATTGAGGCCTTGCAGGAAAAGGAGATAGAGCTCTCCAAGGCAGAGAAGAATGCCATGCTCAACATCACGCTGAAGCAGCGCGTGCAGACAGTCCACTTCACCGTGCGGGAGGCACCTCAGATCTACAGCCTGTCATCCTCCAGCATGGAGGTGTTCAATGCCAACATCTTCAGCACATCCTGCCTCTTCCTCAAGCTCCTTGGCTCTAAGCTCTTCTACTGCTCCAATGGCAATCTGTCCTCCATCACCAGCCACTTGCAGGACCCCAACCACCTGACTCTTGACTGGGTGGCCAATGTGGAAGGCCTTCCAGAGGAAGAGTACACCAAGCAGAACCTCAAAAGGCTGTGGGTGGTGCCTGCCAACAAACAGATCAACAGCTTCCAGGTCTTTGTGGAGGAGGTGCTGAAAATCGCTCTGAGTGACGGATTCTGCATCGATTCTTCCCATCCACACGCTCTGGACTTCATGAACAACAAGATCATTCGGTTAATACGGTACAGGTAAAAAGACACTAGCCACACTGGGGAAGGAGTCCCAAAAAAGCTCATGTCAGCCAAGGCTTTGAGGAGAGTGTCTCACCAGTGGCACAAAGCGGGACCTACACTAATCTGTATTAATTGCATAGCAGGACTTGATTCCCCGTGATGAAGTCTACCTTCTGGAATACACATGTCCTCGAAACAGAACCACCTTTTCTTGGCATTTTGAGATGGTGATGGGTAGTTTACTATGACAAGTTATAAGTCAGCTGATACAAGAAGAGCCCACAGGAGAACTCTCTGGTTGGGACAAAGGGGGAGCAGTTTTCTCATGGGTTATCACCACACCCCGAGTCAGTGTCTCACCCATCTCCAGAGAGAGCCCTGGCTGCCAAGGGGTAGGGTGGGAACAAGAGGCTCCTTTTAGTTTCCTAGGATGTAACATGTACAGCAAATGCCATCACATCTGCTCTTTGTTCTGGAGGATGCATCTAGGTACCAAGACACCTTTGCCCAAAGGCAACCATGTTTGGGTGGTTTGGAATGCAATATGCTCCCAGAACCCTTTGTGGCTCCACTCAGGGAGAAAGTCAAGCTGTCCCATGACCTAGAGGAGTGAGTGTCTAGGCTTCTGCAGGAGGGGATGACCCTCCTAAAGAGGCTGAATTAAAGGACTCTTGGCTTCAGAAAGTGGATGTTTTCCTGCAAAGATGGGATAGTGTTGGGGCTGAAACAAAGACACATTATGATCCGGCCTGTTGCTTGACTTGCAGAACCCTCTTCCCGTGAATTGGAAGCATCACTGAAACAAGTCGGTTTAAACCAATATATTATGAACTCTCAGGGTTGGAAAATAATCCAGTAGTTTTTAGTTCTTCCCCTTCCTCTGGGACATCCCAGTACATTTGGGGATGAGTGCCTCTCCTTGAGTACCTCCAAGGGATCACTTCTGCCAGCCTGCATACCCACTGGTGACAGAAAGCTCTCTATTCCCAGGCAGCCTCTGCCAAGATTGAGCCATGCTGGTTATTAGAAAGTTCTTTCAATATTGACCCAAGATCTGTCCTGCCGGGTACACGTACTAGGTTTTCCTTTTCACACAAATGTTTGTCCTTGCTTTGACTAGACACTTTGACCATATCACTACTCAGAACTCAGATTCCCTCTGCAATTTGTCTTTAACAAAATTAGCTCCTTTCTGTCCTTAAGCCAACTCTCTTTTACATGGCTTTGCCTTGTTCATAGCACCCAGTTCAGCCTTCCCCACCAGCGATGGCTCAGCCCACTTCTATTTCTTGCTACGAAGATCACCACCTGGGAAGATGTAGTCCAGGAGTGCTCTGTGCCCCACAGTTGCCCCTGGAGTGAATGCCCAGCCCCTAATACTCTATTAAGAAAGCAGCCTTCCCCGTCATACTGTCTGGTCCTAACTACCTGTGGGTCTGCCTGAGATACATTAAGGGCAAGAAACCCCAGATCATTACTCCCCAACAGGCGAGGAGCCTTATGGACCTCTAAACTGCACGTTGAGATTCATCCCTGGAGTGACTGTACCTTTGAGAGTCCCAATCCCTCTGGAGCTGAGCTCCAGACACAGGCAGGAAAGCCTGGAACAGCATCCATAGTGGACAAAGCAAAGGGCTTCCAGGGTCACACCTTGTGAATGAGGAGTTCTCATAGTTACAGGCAAAAGGCAAAACCTGATCCTGATGCATTAAAGGCCTCTCTCTCCCCACAGCAGGGCTCAGGAGTCTTCGTGGCTGTCTTGAGCCACTGCACCAGTGGTATTCTGGAAGGTTCATCAGAGAACCAGCCAGGACAATAGAAGCTGTTTTCATGGCCAAATAAGGAAAAAAACCTCAGAAATCAGCACTGCCCTTTATTTTTTTTTTCTCCATAAAACTGCTTCCTCCATCTTTTTGGTGCTTCCTAATTCAGTAGCTTGACTTTAGAGCAAGTACAGAACCTGTGAAGCCACTAACACACAATGTGACTGTGCAAGTCACTCACCTCACTGAGCCACCCCATTTCTTCATCTGCGAAATGGGCACATAGTAATACATAACCCTACCTACCTCACAGGACTGTTGTGAGGATCAAACAAAGTAATGTATGTGAAAATAAAGGATAAATGACAGTTACTTTGTGTCTGCTTCCAAAGGGGAAATCTCCAGTCTTAAATAAGATGGACCCAGTTTGGAATTGGCTCCATTGATTACTGCTAGATCCTTGGCCATGTCACTGAGCTTCTCTGACTCGTTTCCTCATTGGGTTAACACCCCCCGCCCCAGTCACCTTAAAAGAGTGGGTAGGAATTCCAGCAGGTCCTGGAACACAGCTCAGTTGATGCTCTCTTGGTGAGTAGTTATGGCAGACCCCTGTGTAGGCAGAGTTAGCTAGCAAGCCTGGAAATGAGCTCCTCACACATGCTGTGGGAATTCGGGAAAGAGAGTGTTCTTCCCACATAGAGCTTTATGGATGGTAGAAAGTGGGTTAGCCATCGACAGAATTGACAGGAGTGACTGAGGGCAGGCAGGAGAGGCGTGGGGGCAGGTGCTTCTCCCACACAGCCGCTGATGGGGGAGTAATGGGGGCAGGTGGTGCACTGAACACAGGCTCTCCCAGCTCCCAGCTGATAGGTGAGAGGAGGCACACAGAGCAGTGTGTGGTACCATTAATGGGTGTGACAGTGGAGCAGGCTGGGCTGTTCTGAGCCCCTCACTCCCAGAGGGTGCGCACCCAGTCAACCTAGCTCTACACTGCAGAGGTTTCATCTCTGTCAGCTCTCTGCTCTGTCCCCACACATGCAGCATACGGTCAGAAAGGGTGCCGATGGGAATGCCAGAGCACCTTGATAACCGCTGCATGAGGCCTGCCCCATTAGGGTCCCTGCACACTTGGAGGCCAGCAGTGGCTGCTTCCTTAGATGGCATTCTGTGACCTGAACTCAGGACCACCAAATGATCCTTCCATTTCTAGGAAGGCCCAGCCTCATGACCCTGTCCTGCCACTGGGGCCATGCTCCCTGTGCAGGAATGACCACAGAGTTCCTTGCCCTCGCCACAGTGTTCCACAGTGCAGCCCAGACGCAGCCATCCCATGGCTATTAGTCACTATGTGACCTGAATCATAGCATTTATTAGAACTTGCCCGATTACAGCTTCCTTTTATGAATTACTCCCAACAGGCTCTGTGAACGGGGGTCAGCCAAGGTCAGCTCGTGACCAGAGCACCACTCATCCCTGTTCTGGGCTGCAGTCTCTTCACACTGACCATCTGTGTCTGCCTAGGTGTCCAGGGACTTGGGGCTGGTGGCAGTGGTTGGCAGGGAAACGAGGCCCTGTAATCATTTCCCAGAGCAAAAGACAAACAAAAAACAACTCAGCCACCAGGCTGGTTTCCAGGTCCTAAAGATCCTAGCTTTAACAGCTCCATCTGCCCAGACAGCTGGGTGCCCTCAGTCTCCTTCAGAGCCTTTGGGTCAGTGTAGTACAGGCCGAGCAGTAGAGGTGACAAACTCACCCGGTCTGGAGACCCTGAGGGAAAAGGTTGTTTAGTATAAACCAGAGGATCACAGCGCACCCATACCTGTCAGGTTCCACCTGAACCAAAGGATGAGCAAACAGGATTTGAGAGTGGTGCTGCCAGCCAGTCTCATAGGTAGTGAATCTGAACCATGAGTGTCTGACCCTCGCCTCTGCCCCCAATTCCCAGAGCATTTCTAAGCCTCTGCAACCATTTCCCAATCAGCTAGTAGCCTAGAGTACTCCAAGACATTCTCTTTGTTACGCCAGGTCCCCCTCACCCTGCCAAGGTCTAGGTTCCCTTTTACCAAGAGCTGGGTAAAGGCCCAGTTAAGCCACATTTGAAATCCTCTGGGGATCAATCCAGCTCACGAGCAAAAGATACTCTCCCCCCAACCTGAGTGTTGTATTGAATTTATGTAATAAATTCTCTTTACTAACTCCTAGGCTACCCAGTTCCTTCATACCCACAGTTTCCTTTCCAGAAACGGGATATGTTGTTCTATGTCACCCTTGTCTGGGCTGCTCCTTTACCACTCTGTCTTCACAGCAAACATCTGCCCATCCCCTAACACTCTGCATGAGCTCCACTTTCTTGACTCCACCAACAGAAGAGTCCCAACCCTACACCCAGGGAGGTGTTTATCATCGGTTGTTCACCCACAGTGTGGCACTGGAAAATAGCCGCCCCTCTGGGGGAAGCTCTGGCTTGTAGCCTTCACCACATTCTATGGCACAAGTGTGCTCGGGTGGTTCATTTCAAGTCACCAATGTGACTTGACGGGTATGACAGGTAAGCTGGGAAGAGAGGCACAGAGTTCTGGAGTCGAGAGAGAGAGGTCTCCATCTCTGCCACTCTTTTTGTAAGTGAAGGTGCTCTGCCTTTCTCTTTAGATCAAAAGTCTGCTCCAATTTTTTTCTGTAAATACAATTAAAAAAAAACAAAACAAAACAAAAAACCAGTCACTAGCTCTAGCTGGCTAGTTTTATGTCAGCTTGACACAAGCTCGAGTTATCCAGAGGAGGGAACCTCAACTGAGAAAACGCCTCCATAAGACTAGGCTGTGGGGCATTTTCTTAATTGGTGATTGATGAGAGAGGACCAGGGCCGTTGTGGGTGGTGTTATTGATAGGTTGGTGGTCCTGAGATCTAGAAGAAAGCAGACTAAGAAAGCCATGGGGAACAAGCGAGTAAGCAGCAACCCTACATGGCCTCTGCACCAGTTCCTGCCATTTGAGTTTCTGTCCTGACTTCCTGGGATGATGAACTGTGATGTGGAAGTGTAAGTCAAATAAACCTTTCCTCCCCAAGTTGCTGCGCTCATGGTATTTCACTGCAGCAACAGGAGCCCTAAGACAAGCTCTTTAAGGCAGGTGTCAGCTTGCTTTTTTTAAAAAACAGGGTTCTCTGTATAACAGTCCTGCAACTCACTTTGTAGACCAGGCTGGTCTCAAACT